TTTGTCCCTCCCCGACCCCCCCCCTATCTGCCAGCTGCCCCCCCCCAGACTCAGACACTCAACCTGCACCCACCACCGACGCAGAGCGCCGGGCGTCCTCAGCCGGACCGGAGTCTGCAGCCCCGGGGGGGCCCCCCAAAAGCCAGGGCCGGCGGGGCCGGAAGCCCCCCCCCTACCCCCACAACCCCCCCCAGCTCCCAAAGGAGCCCCGCAAGGCCCCGCCGTACCCGGATAAAAGAAGGCTGCTCTCAACCACGGTGTGAGGGGGGGCTGATCCAGCAGCAGCGGGGGGGTCAAGGCTCGCCAGCCCACCTGAGACCAGGTTTCCACGGTGACCAGATGCAGACGCAGCCCGGGTGAGTGAGTGTCTGAGTGATTGTGCCTCTCTGTGCGCAGACCTGGTATCCATACGCCGAACACAGGCGGGGGGGGCGGGGGGGGGGGGGCATCTGTCTGGGTCACTGCTCTGTAACCAGACCTCTGGACAGATGCTGACCAGCTCGCCCACAGAATGACCCTTCAGAGGGCAGAGAGAGAGAGCCTCATCAGACGCAAATCAGAGGGAAACTGTAATAATTTCCAGTGTGGCCGGACATACCGGAGGTGATTGCTGCTCTTGGACCCGTGCGTCCAGTCTCCTGGTGGGTAATGGTCATCAGAGGTCCTGATTGTATGATGAGAAAATGCAGTGCCTATTACCCCAGCCCACGGATGTGAAAACCACACAGGAGCGATCTGAAGGAGAGAAAAACAACCCTAATGGGAGAAACCTGGCCAGGCCACAGGAGGACCTAACAGGCCCAGGGGGGGCTGACCTGGGGGGGTCAGCCAGACAGGGGGCACCTGGCCCCCTCCCTCTCCTCTGTGCCTCTGGCTCGCCCGACCTGGGTGCAAACTCCATCTGTTCCCTGTAAATGTCAGGAGACGCAGAGAAAGAGAGAAGCAGGCGGGCGTCTCGGGGAGGAAAAAGAGTCTGTGAGGCTCAGGCCCGATTGATTACACCAGTCCAGCACAACAGATCAATGGCTGATTCATTTAGGTCATCTGGTGCTGACCGCTTTAAAATCCACCCCGCCTGCTTTTCTGTTTCTGTTTCCAGGATCTTTTTTTAGAGGAAGGCTCCTGTTACATTACATTTTCTATTATATATATATAACCATAAGTAGCTAAAGCAATGGCCCAGATCCATTCATGTTCTCAGCCCCAGGACCTAGAAAAGTGTATGAAACGCAACAGTAATAATGACATTCAAATGGATGCTGGTAGATAATCAAATTAGCTTGTGGGTAAGCGGATAGGGTTTGTCAGCCCATGCATTCAGACATTTAATTCAACACCTTTTAATAGATGCCTTATACTCGCAAATAATCTTTCTTCTTATCACTCATCACAGGACGCAAATTAAAGCCTTTTGAATCATTTAACAACAAGTTTGCAATAATAATCCAGCACAGCTCGAAATGACAGCTCCATTTCCTCAACCATTTTACTTTGAAAGGAAGGACAATTTAGATGACAATAAATTTGGAATCATTGCCACAGTTTTTTCAAAAAGAAGGTATAATTACAAAAAGTCAGCAGTAGTTTGCACAAACAAGTCAGATGTTGTTGAAACTCAGCTTGAGGTTTGGTATTTCTAAGAGGAAAATCCTCTAAAGTACACAGCTGAACAGCGAAGTTTCTGTTTGGACATTTAGCTCTCGCACCAAACAAGTTGACGGCAATTTTAGGACAATCTAGATTACTGATTTTCTCTCGGCTTAACATAAAATGAATAAATCCCGCCTGACTTTATATCTCTGTAAGCCTGCAAAGATCAGCACCGCCTACATTCCCATATGGGCCCCTGGATTTAGCAGATCCTCCATGCAAAGCCTTTCTCCCTCAGAAATGAAGAAGAAACAATCCAAGTGCTTTATCTTTTGGAAAAAATGATTTGAGAACAATATATGTTAATTGAGCGTACTTGCAGAATACATTTTGAAGCTGATTTCTGCCACGCAGTCTCAGCTGGAAGCTCTGGAACGGGCTTGTTTCTACACTACTTAGAAACCAAGTTCAAATTATTTATGCATTAGCTGTGCCGCTGAAACGACTGTCACTTGAGCAGATAAGATGGGGCATTAAAATGCTCTCCACCATGTTGGCTGTGGCCCAGCTCCGGGAGGATTCAGGACATTTATTGTCTCCACACCGACAAGAAAATCCTCCTCGTTTCATGTTTCTGCTCCGACGAGGGATTGAGAGCTTCTGTCAGATGCTGACTGATGCAACCAGGAAAAAAGAAACAAAAGAAAGTTGCCATCATCGCAATACCTTTATTGCAACACTCATTATTACATTTAATCATGACTTGGAACCATCAACAGGTTGAAATAGAAAGCATGTACAAAATAAGTAACATTATGAGTGATCTCAGACTCTGGATGTGTTCATTTTCTCCGCTCCAACTATTTCTTCAAGTCCAGAGGGATGTCTTTGAGACAGATGAGAGACAGCAAACCCACACCGAAGGAGGTACATACATCCAAGTAATGCCAGCATAGAATCATATCAGCAAAAGCCTGGAATCTGAGTTCAATCATTTGACGTTTGTGCTGTTAGAGGGCTGGATCAATGTCGGGAGATAAAGCAGACATGAGAGAGCAGGCGGAGCAGAGGCGGGGGGGGACAAGTGATAATGAAGCACTTCTGAAACCTGCGCAACACTCCCTGATCCTCACATGTGGCTCTGGAACATGAAAGTAAGGGGTATGAGACGGCCGGGGTAATTACGCGCTGGTTTCTCTTTGTCTTCTCCATTACCTGCCTGTCACGTCTGTGTTTTGCTCTTAACAGGGGAGCACACAGAACCCGCTTAAAAAAACAGGATTTACGCCTGGATGTTTTGGAATTCTTCACAGTTTGTGTGTCTTCCTCTTATATTTTGTTAAGGAGCTGCTTTTTGCTCTTTTCCAAGTGCAGCTTCTGACAAAAACAAGCCCAAAACAACAGCTTCCACCAAAGGTAGCGGCTGGTGTTTGGGGGTGTCGGATGTGGTGCTCTCCGTTATCTGGAGCAGATGTAGATAAACAGAGAGAGATGGAGACTGACAACAGCGGCTCAGATCAGAGCCAGACTCAGGAATTTTTACTTGTTTATGTGTGTGCCGTGACGATATTGGGGATTACTCCCTTTCCTCTCAGGATTACACTAGAGGGCTAAATCCCGCTCTATTCTTAATGTGCAATCTATACTGGACAAGCCCACAGACACCAATCTTCTATGCATTCATATACCACATCCCCTGGATCAGAACAGAATTATTTTCTGTAAACCTCAGAAGCTAAGAAAAAACTAGGGAAGCACTTTATCTTATCTCAGAATTTTTATCTTGGATAGAAATCTGGAAACTCAACTGATGCCTCGATGATCTTTTCTTTTTTTTTTCCATATTTTCCCCCTTTTTTTAATCCCATGCAGAACAAATCCATCAGATCATCAGTGTGCTGACACACAATGTGCTCTCTAGGCCAGCACCAGTACCATTCTTCCACAGGTTTTGCTTGTCTCTATTCTTTATGGGCAGTTCTGCAGAAACTCACTTCCTGAACGGTGCCGTGCACGCCGCGTCTTTAGAGCTCGTCGTGTCGTGTCCGTCCAATGGCCGTCAGTTTGGAGAGCTGGGCACTGAACTTTCCACTGTTGTGCGTCACTGGAAGCCAGAAACAGATGTTAACACAACAGATGTTAACTCTACTTCTACAGACCAACAGTTTGGTTGAGATTAAATGCGAGAGACCTTCACTACAAGGGCAAAGACTAAATAAAATAAGAATCCTGCTTTTGCCATCGACATACCTGTTTGGAAGTGTTCAGAACTGTGTGTTAGACGGGAAGCCGTGCTGTGACAACACAATTGGTTTCGGCCTTCCCACTTCCACTACACTAGCTAGTAGGGTTTGGCCCTTTAGCTCTGGCAAGGACCAGATTAGGATCAGAGGTGGGTTCTCATTTTCATATCGCTCCAATTCTAAACTAAGTTTAACATTTTTTCGACTGATTTTCTTCATAAAAACTCTCAATACATTGCTTGCTTTTTTTTAAATATATATTTGGCGTCTTAGAGGAATTTCCAACTGACAGCCACTCCATTTATTCTTTCTGGAATAGTGATTTTAAACCACAATAAGATGTCTTGAAACAGCAATCGTCAAAAAGAAAGAAACACTGATGCTCTCCCTCTAACAATTTACGACCGTTGATCAACTGGAAACATGGACATGATGTGTGGATTGTCTGATGTATTTGTAACATCTGTCTGAGCGCGTGTTTCCTGCAGTAACTTGCCTTTTCTGTAGGTGGTGCTCTTCGGTGAGTCGGGTCTCTACAACTCCCTCTAGTGGAGAATCTGGGGTCTTTTATAAATATTACCCCCCAAAAGAAGCAGTGCGAGCAGATCGAGAATGGTTTTCTAAACTGTACTGCGGTCGGCTAAGCACTCGATCCCTAGAAATCACGGCTGCGAGATTTTCCCAGTGACAGGATTATCCTTAAATCTGTCATCGCCGCTGAGTTCCGAGCCCATAAGCCCGTGTGCTGAGGAGACTAAGCTGCTGAAAACGACAGCTGAAGTAAATTGCTGGTCGGGGCGACTTGTCAAATCCAGCTAATCACAGTCTGGAACTGAGGCAACGGCGGGGATTTGGGCAGAAGCCTAAGAACAACAAATAATGCTGCGGGGACAAACGAGAGCCCACTCACAGCTGGAGCATATGCTGAGGAGGGAAACCAGGAGGGAGCTCACACTGTGAGAACCGGGGGGGGTGCGGAGGGAGGAGCCACAGGAAGACTGATGGAAGGAGCAGGGGGGGTTTATCGAACACTGAGACACAATCAAGGTCTCACCTGTTGATTCTCCGACGATAAACTCCTCTGGCTTCAAAGGCACGTCGCTCTGTCCTCCCGCCGCTGACTGGGACTGGAGATGTGTTTGTGATGAAAGGAGCAAAACAGAGAATGTGAGCAGAAAGAAAAGGAATAATAAAACAGCTCCAGAACGACATTGTGCAGAGGGATGTGACAGTAAGGTGGATGTGACGCGTGTGTGTTTGGTCAGGCCGGTTACTCTCTGCCTGCTGTGTGTGGTTGCAGGGCGCAGACCAGAGGAGGAGGAGGAGGAGGAGGAGGAGGAGGAGGAGGAGGAGGGGGGGAAGCGTGCGCTCCCACTAATGACGGCGGTGTCAGGGCCGTCCTTGCTGGGGGAGGGAGGCGTGTCGGCGCGCTCCGCTCCACACCACCACATCACACATGGAGGAGAACAGCATTAACCTTCCACCAAACCAAACTCAGAGTTTTCCTCCAAGAGAGAATAAAGTTTTCAGAACGGCTGGCTTGGGTTTTTTTGTTAAAGTTGGATGGAGTTGGATGCGATGAAGCTCCAGGCGTCGTTACCGGAGCTAAAAATGCCCACACAGAGCTCCTGATGGGTTTCCATAGAGACATGGAAGACATGTTATTAACATGGGCCAATGGATGAGGAGAAGAGCACAAACTGAGCCTTTAGCTTGGATTGGAACACCTCCCGACAACCCTGCTGCATGATCCAGTAATCTAAACTTTACTTTGACAAAAGCACAAATGACATGCAGTCGGCCTTTGTTCTTTCTTTGTTTGACTGCCGATTACAGGATCTGGACTCATTTAGGGGAAAGTGAGAAGCTGCTGATATCTCCTCAATGTGAAATGAATATTAAAGGGTTTTGAATCATGGAGGGACTCTCAGGTTTTGGCTCCCCATCCCTGATGGATGAATGAGGAAAACACAGAATTATTTAAGAAAATAAAACTATTTAAAAAGGATGTTTGCATATGTGTCTGATAAATTAATCTCAACTCAGGACATTCAAGTCACTACTGCTAAATGTTTAAAGACTGATGCTCTGAAATGGCCAAATCAAATGTCCACACAGGAAGGCCACCACAAACCCGAGACGATAACACAAGAGTGGGATGAAATCCCTCAGACCTCATGTGGAGACACCAGTACAACACAATTTGTTTTAGTTTTTGCTGTACAAAAACGTATCTTAAAAGTTGATGCCTAAATATAACTGACTGGATGATTTTTCTTTATATTGATAGTTCTCATTGTTATTCATTTCTACCTTAATTACTCATTTAAGAACTTTACAATCCTAATTTAAAACATTTGCACAGGTTCACTAATGCTCATATCCAAACCAAGTTGGTGATTTGCATATTTAGAAAGATATTTCTAAAGCATTATGTATTCATCATGAGGATCAACATTTTTTTTCTAGATCTTTGTCGTCTTGTGGAGGAAAAAGTGTAATGAGTCAGAAAAATGCAATGAATCCTGAAATCTTGCTCTAAATAGTATTTTTGCAAACACGTCCTAAATGTATATGTTTACTCCCAGTAGAAACCGCGGTGTCATGAGGCTTACACCGTTCTGTTTTCGGTTCCTTCATAGAAGACAAAGAGCAGAAAAAGAAACGCTGTCTTTTCATTTTTTTCTGAAAGGAGAAAAGAGAAGTCTGCCTGGGGTCTCATCCCTGAACCTGACGTGTGCTCTGCAGGCTGATGGCGCTGGGGTGAGTGGTTCATTATTTACAGGCTGAGCAGAAATGTTAACCAGGATTTTGCCTTGATTTTCTGACATTTGTGCAGATACTCAGCAAGGTAAAGCTTTTATCTCGGCATTAACAGGATGCATGAGACAGCGTGCAAATATCAAGCAGAAATTCTTGACTCCACTCTGTCGGTTTGACTCAGCTGAGAGGGCTGTGATGGGGCCTCACTGGCAGGTCGGGCTGTGAGACGACTACCCCAAATAACAAGACTGACATCTAGAAACGAAAGATTCTCATTCTTTTATGACAAGATACATATTTATGATGGTGTCTCAGTGGGGAAGACCTGCACTGAAATTCAAAGAGTTGCAGGTCGAATGGCCGTGTATGAAGTTGCTTTAATTCCTGCATTAAATGGCTGGATGCCATTATTGATTTTATCATATCTGAGTCAGCAAATGACTAAAAAATCCATCTATTAGCTCATCTTAGTATTCAGGTGCTGGCTGATGGCATCCAGCCATCCTGGCTGAGCAGGATGAGCTGAAGGCTTCAGAACATATTCATGTAACATGGGCAGCTAAAGCTAAATCAGCGGTGTCTCTTTGTACTTACATATGCGTTGGCATATTCAATTTTTGTTCCCTTCAGCTCGGCTTTGAACTGAGTGAAAAACAGGTATGATTTCCCCTGAGGCCTGGCAGAGATGAAAAAGAAATATTCATCAGCATTTATCCATTTGCATGCTTTCATTCACTTGTTAAACCACAGTTTTAAAGTTTCCCTCCACATTGTGTGTTGTGCTGCTTTTTGACTATAAGTAGGATCAAAACAAAGTGCCGATTTACAAGTGTGCCTCACCTCCACACAGAGCAGGAAAACAGTCTGTCATCCTCACTGAGGCCAACGCTCATCAGCCATTGCTGTTTTGGAACAGGAGAGAATGTTTAGCATCAAACCAGAAGTGATCATCAATCAATAAAAATGTCCTGAAGTCTCAGAGTGAAACACTCACCTCATTGGTTCCCCCTTGTGAGGCATAAGTGAATGAGCACTCATAGTCCCCCTGAAACAAGCAATGATGAAACATTATGCAGTTATAATGGATGCTATCATCTATCTAAATTCACATGGCATTTAGTGCCTCTTACTATTCACTGCACAAGTATAATACGTAGATGGTTAGGCAAGGGCTTTGTTTAATAAATTCATTATGATTATTTTTTGCCTATTATTTATTTGAAGTCCGTAATTTTAGAAAATGTAGAATTCAGAATTTTATTTTGATTTATTTATTTATTTATTTTAAATGTCCTATTTGGTGTAGTTTCGTTGTTTTATATATGGAGCCAGTAACAACAATAATTTCCCTCTGGGATTATTAAAGTATTTCTGATTCTGATTCTGAACAAGCAAAATAATAGATGCAAAGAAATCCATTAGTAAAAGTAATGATTTTCCTCTTCGGTGTCTGCCGTTCAAAAAGAAAAACATAAGGAAGCGGATGCCATTTTTTCTTTGTGCGGACATAAAGTCAAACTTCTGGATTCAGGAAGAGGTCCAGTCATTCACACAGAGGTCCAGTCATTCACACTCTCATCCAATCAGTGGAGACGTTGTGGCGTCCGAGCAGCGACGTGTCAGCCTTTGACAGGCTGTGACGTCATCAGAGTGCGACTGCATCCGTGCAAAGGAATGTAGTTTTTCACTAACGCTGTTCAAATTATGAATATTCCGCACGTTTGAATGGAAAAGACATGGCCCTTGGTGAAGCCTAAAATGTAATTATATTCAATTCTACAATATGCGCTCTGATTTCATTAAAAAATTATGACAAAACAGACCAAAATAATGCCCTACAAAGCATATTCACTATCATTCAAAATTACTGAGGACTGGAAACATTTACAATCAGTCCAACGGTAGATTTGTATCCCCATGGCAACCGCGCCGCGGTTCCAAATCCAGAACCAGCTGTGTCGAATCCCGCTGACGGCTGGAGTGACTTACAATTCCCTCAGAGAAAGTATGCACCACTCCTCCCGGTTTCACGTTGAACTCCACCGTCTTGGTCTGTTCAGACGAGGCCGCGGCCAGGGCACACACAGACAGCAACACGCCCAAGACCTGGACGGCCGTTTTCCCAGCACGTAAGTTGTTGTGTGAAGCCATTTCTGCCTCCGACGTGAGATGCTGTGTCTACCCAAGTAGCGACCCGAGTAAGAGGGTGTCCCGTCGACGGAGAATGTCGTCACACGCTACGTCACGTATCGAGAAGACAGAAGATTGTACTAATATACCGATGAAAAAAGTCGTTTAAAGGGTCAAAAATACATTTTACGTGTTTGTTATCGTTTAGAACACGACCCAGGCAACACTAAAGCTCTCTCTGAAACTCCTTTGTTTTGGCCACACGGTGCCGCCCCACTTCAACTAGTTTCGCAGTGTCAAAGAGCACAAGTAAAGAATGAATTAAATGTTTAAAAGTGAATCTGTACTGCTGCACAAAAATACAAAGAAAGTATCGAATGGGAAGTATAGCTCAAGTATACAAAAAGTAAAATCAATTAACCCTGAAAATGTCGGGGACTCAGCTCATTTATTCACCCAGAGATGATGAAATAATGGGCCCCTGGATAGAGATCTGGATAAATAATTAAAGTATTAAAGTATTTCTGATTCTGATTCTGAAGGTCCACAGAAGCTCTGAGCTCCTACACTCCCAAGACTTAAGTTCCCCCCCTGACATTTTATGTTTCTCTGTTTCTTGGTTAAAGACTGGAAATCCACGTAACCCAATAATTTGTACAGTGAAAATTTTAGCGTCAGATATTGCCATAAAATGTGCAACATTTGTAGGCCGGCCAAAAAGAGGCCACCCTTGTAACACGTTGCACATTATTCACACATCTATCTTTTCCAGTGTTTGTATTCGAGGCCACCAGCCTTCTTGTGTCTGCCTCTGAAAGTCTGCATGTATGTGTGTTTTAGGTCCCCGTAAAGCATCTTCCACGTGAGTCATGATGGATGAACATGTTTTGCACAAGAGGAGACATCCTAACATTGTCTGGCACTAGTGTGCAAAACCCATAAAGCAACGTGAGTATCTGGAATGATATTCAGACCCAAAACACCCGTCAAACATCTCCTGTCCATTCTCTTCACCCTGAGCGTCAAGCAACCTATTCCATGTTTTAATATTTACACTCCATTTGCCTCTCTGGAAAGAAACCCATCAGCTGTAAAGTCTTTCAAAAAGGGAATCTTGTTGATGCTGGACTCGGATGTGGTCAGGCTGATGACGTCAGGTAAACGTTTTTGGCCGTCCCGAGCCATCAGACACATGGCTGTGTCGCAGGAGAGGAAAATATTAGTACCAGAAGTCCTTTCCCCTCTGTGAGCACAAATAGCTTCTAGTCTTTGCTGTAGACAAACAATTCCCTCAAAACTAAATAGTGACTGCAGACAGGGAAACGGAACATGAGCAACAAGGCGACCCCAATCCATTTCCCCTGGAAGAGCGCTCCTGTCCCAGACTGTGTGCACACAGTAAAGATCAACACTCGCTGGAGTGGGAGTTCCTGTTTGCACCTGGACAGAATCGAGCAGGCTTTTTTAGTTTGAGACGGAACATCGGAACAGGTAGACCCTGAGATTGGAAAAGCAGCAGAGCAAAACGGCCCTAAGCCTCTTCACACTGCTGATCAATCACAGGTTATCAGTCCGGTTGTTGGGTTCATTTGCCAGCGCACGTCAATTTGACACTGTTGAAAAACAGTCAGATAGATGTTCATTCATATATGCTGTGGTTCAAATCCTTTTCTTATTCATGTTGTCTAAATGTCTTTGTGCACATTCCAGACAGATGGGCTTTTTTCTGAGTTTCTTCTGAGTTGGTTTGATGAACACACACCATGAATCTGTCTGAATTTAAAGCCCGTTGGAAGATTGGAGTAAAGGATAGGTCCTTAATGATTCATGTGACGTTCCTTAAAACTGTCTACATGAATCTGTGTTAGAAACTAATCCTGCACACACAGGAAAGGTATACAGGAAATCTGAATATCACACTCTTATTCAGGAGTTGGAAGGAAGGTTGTTTTGTCCAGATTAATCAAACCGTGGTAGTTTATGACAGCTTTTCATGCAATAATCAGCCTTCGTACAATCACTTTGACCAAAAATGTGTTGATGGGGCTTTAATGTGAATGATTAATGCTTCAGTGAACGATGGAACAAGGAGGCATCAGAAATGTATTTTATTCTGCTTCAGCTCTGTCCAGTGGTCCAGCTGAGGCCCTCCATGTGTCTCAGGGCTACAGCCTGCTGGCTCTGCTGCTTGTTGACAGTGATTTTCAGACAGCCAGTCCCCTGGGCTCAGCCTCAGACGGTAAAGCCACAATGGGAACGCCTCCGTCCAGGAGCTGCTGAAGTCAGTTGTTTGCAGTCCAGTTTTCTTGGCCGTCTGTGGATCTGTGGAATTTCTCTCCTCCTCGCCATCTCCAGCAGGGTCGGCCGGCAGCTTTGCCCATCCGATACGGCCTGCAGGCTAAGCCCTGAGCAAACAGCCCCGGGGGGGTGGGGGGGCTCTGCCCTGGCCCTTCATCACACTCAGATCCACACCACTGGCTCACCTCAGTGGGTTCTCTGGCCAAAGATGGCATGGGCTCAATAGAGAAGCCGGTTTCGGTATGATGAGGGAACGAGGAGCTTTTTTGAACAGATCTTGTCATCACTAGCTCCAGAGTGCTCTTAAACCTGCACCTGGTTTTTGTGAGTGTCTTGCAAAGTTTAAAAATAGGAAATGGAGATGATGTCATGAGTCCAAACGGCTCTCACCATTACCATGTCAGGAAGTGGAGAAGTTGGTGACTACCTGTGACCTGATGTTGCCATAAGACAAATTATGCCAGTGAGTCAGAGTGTGTCCATCCACACAGAGAAAGGCCCTCTCACTGTCCACCTGCCACATGGTCAGCCCATATTTCTGTTATCACTCAAAATGACTCTATCAGGTTTTATGCTAAATCTTCAGAAAATTTCAAGTGACCACATTTTGACGTCTGACAGAAAAAGAAAAGTAAATATGAGCAGAATGACTTTGTAGGTAGACTCTGCTTTAGTCACAGATTAAAGTCACAGTACTGTAACCTCCTGCTTTCTGGCTTTTAATGTTAAACGTTGCAACATAACTGCTGCATGATGGAAAACAGCACCATAAAAAAGAAGCCAAACCAAACGCAGTTCACACAGTGCTTTCTAGAGACAATACCACACTCAGTCTGAATAAACCCAGACGTTTGTGGAGGACTGGCATGGTTTCTGTTCCAGGTGAATAAATGTTTTCCCAATCACTCACCTGCTGAAGCCCATCATGGCAAGCCCACAAACACAGTCTCTGGGTGTGATGTGGTATTTATTTAGCTGCTATTTCTGAGACATGAGCGTGCAAAGTGGTGTAATTACAGGTATTTCTCTGTGGTGTCCCACAGGAACCATTAAACTATCTCTCTGCTCACACTGAAATGCTCCTCAGCTTGTGTACTTTTAATGGGAACAGCACGAGTCCTGTTTTTAAAAACGCACCCGAATTATCTCATCAGGATAGTTTCTTTATTTTAGAAGAAAACTTTGGTGGCACTTTGGCTTTAACACGTGTTATTATAAAATCTAAAACAAATCCATTGCTCTCAAGCAGCACAAACCACATTAAGGGTGCTCATGATATTTGATTTGCACCAGACAAATATAACCAGTAGGGATGGATTCATATAGTCACACCACAAGAATCTATTTCTAATCCTTTTTTTTTATTATCAAAGCGTCAACATTCTGTTTGTCAGTTCATCTGTTAGCATCCTGGTTATTTCCATGGACCAACTCAGACTGACAGTGTGCATTTAAACAGCTTCATTTACCTCAGTGAATCTCACTTATACCATTTTTGTACTGGACATATACAGCTGACAGGAAAGCTTTGCATTCAGAATGACTACAGGTAGACGTTATCATAGATAAGAACATTTTCATCTGTAGCTAAAACATTTCATGTGGCATAAATACAAAGACTAGTGTGAGTAAAAAAACAGCCAGCAGTGAAGCAGCTGTTAATGAAGAAAAACCAGAGGCTGTGAGGCTTTCTGTCTTCACCAGATCAGCTTCTGTAAAACATGAAAAGTAAACGGCAATCATCTCCAAAAGGAGTTTTTCTCAAATTCCTGTATTAGCTACAAGCATTTACCAACTTACAGCACAATCCTGCAGTTTCGTGCTTGGACGTGAACTCCAGTGTACCTGATGTCACACCTCACTTCATTGTTGCTGAAATCAGACTCCTGCACCACCTGAGAGGGGTTCACTGTCACCTGCAAAACGGGGAGACTCGTGACTGATTTGACTTGTAGCTATAAACAATAAATATATAAATATAAATCTTAAATTTGGACCACAATCTTGTCCCATAAATAACTACACTTTGCAGTCCCACCTTGAGGATGTAGTTTCCAGGGGGCACATCAGTGATGTCAATCCACTGGCAGTCAATGTTGGCATGATAAGTATCATAGCAACCAGGACCGAGCCCCTTAGAAACAACCCAAAGCTGTTATCAGCTACGTTAGCCCCT